TTAAAAAAAACTACAGTTCATAAAAGTGTTTAATTTATTTATACTGCCATCAATACGCACCTGTTAATAGCTACCAACCAGTACCTACATATAAACGTTTATTGGCTGTTCCTAGCCACCAAGTTGCACTATACTGAATTATTTATTGGCAATTCATTCAAAAGCTTTAGTACTAATTAGTACTTTTTCAATGAAATCAAAACGTGCTTTGTTGATTCTTTAAAAGTTCAAATTGACTTATTTTATATTTCAACATTTATTTGTCACGAAAGTTTTTTTTATTAAGTTATCTTGTTGCACAGCTTTATCCCATCGCAAATTAACTGAGATTGGTGACCTTGAAAGCCTCATAAACCGTGTCACTATCACTTTGCATAGGTATTACATATCACACGAGTCCAGTTCGTGGAAATATTGCAATAACGAAGAAGGAAAATTTTCATTGTCATGTCTAATATAAACAATTCATCATCGCTGTAATTATTATTATTAAAATAACGCCATTCAGAATCTTGTGCTTTGTATCGATTTTATAGCATTGGAAATGGATAAGCGTTAAGAGTGTATCGACACGGTAATAATTATTACCGTGGTATCGATTATAAAACAATCAAGATATACCTTAATTCGAGTTTGCATTCTATATGTACTAAACTGATGTACATATTACCTATTTATAATGAAAACCTGTCACTGTTACACTATTATTTCCTTAATTGTATTTCTTAAAGGACACTTGGAAACGAAGTGCATGTTGCTTTTTGAGTTCCGTACCCAAAAGGTAACAGGATCCCATTACTAAAACTCCACTTTCTGCCTGTTTGTCTGTGACCGTGATAGTTAGAAAGTTAAAATTTTTACAGAGGAATTTTTGCTCTTAAAAACGGCAACTTTGAACGCTTGAAATATTCGCAGGGTTTATTCACTTTAAAATAAATAATTAAATTAAAATAAAAGTTTAAGGGTTCTGTCCCATACAACAGACGTGCTTTTTTTTGCCGATTTTTACTTGATATTATAATATAGTGTCTAATATTGTATAGATAATAGTATGGAACCCTTCGTGCGCCAGTTCGACTCGCACTTGGCCACTTTTTTTAATAATTAATATTGTTCACATTTTTATATTGAATGTGTACTTTATAATGGAGAAAAAATAAAACGGCCTTTCATAATAGCACGTCAATCATGATTTACGAAAATATATCGTCACTTTTAGACCTTTTAGACAAACACACGTATCGTATCTAGACTAGTTGAGCGATTTCTATTTTACAAAATGGATCGACTTCTGAGCTTAACCTATTTAACCATTGACGGGCCTTTTAAAATAACTAGGGCACGTTCCTACTCTATTCTGTACGGAGCAACGAGCGCACAAAATAGCACGAACTGTTCGACTCGGGACCAGAGCATTGCACTTAAGTCGTTTACACATACTATGCACAGTCAGCACCGGAAGAAACCTTAATGGCCACGTCAACCAAAGTTACATTATAGGTAGTAAGTAATATCCATTACTTTCCTCTTCGTGGTGCTGCTAACTGGTGAATTATTTTTGAAGCAGAGTGTACACATTTCAGTCTCTCAAGCCCATAGACATGAGCAACACGGAAGGAAGTAGCCAAAGCGAAACAATACTAATCAAATCGTTCTGCCATTTTTGGCGGTTGGGAATATGCACACAAATACATTAAACTAGTAAAGACACATCGCACATTGAAATACACCGTGATTATGTCGCACATTGATAAGAAGGGTGACACTAACCAAAAAAGCTATTTTTTCAGTAGAAGCATTTAAAGTTTTACCAAACAGTAATTACGACTTTTGCAATCGTGTTTAATGCTCTCTGCAATAGAAATCATATCATGATATTGATTTTTTATTCTTTCTGGTGCAAAAGTCGTAATTAGTGTTTGGTAAAACTTTAAATGCTTCTACTGAAAAAAATAGCTTTTTTGGTTAGTGTCACTCTTCTTATCAATGTGCGACATAATCACGGTGTATTTCAATGATACAATACACCGTCAAAGCCTGCACACATGTATCGTTTGTATGCCCAATGCTACAGAGGGGAAAGCTGTGTACTCTTAATAATCTTTTCAACTGTGTGTGTGTCCAACTCCAGGGTAGTTTCAAAATGTTCCACCTTTGATGTTCTGCTAACCTCGCAAGGGTCAAATTGATTTGGCATTTAGTATCTCCTTGAAGTTTCACTGTCAATATTATTCAATTAAAGTTTATGAAAATAACAAAAATATTATTCAAACTTATCGAATTGGAGTTATACCGAATATGTACCTATATAAAACTAAATTTCAACTGTGTCACAAGCATGTCCCAGCCACATGTCACATCAGTGCTTTAAGACTTGATCGTAAAGTGCCAAAATATCCTAGAATATGTGGTATATTTATTTATATTAATAAGTACTTTTTTTAAATGATGCGCGCATGCACAGTGTAAATGCTGTAATTTGTAGTCCGTGTACAATAAGCCTTTTGCCAGAGATCTCTGCCATACGGGCACGGGCGATGATCATTTTACGCGCCACGAGGTTCCGGGACCAATTTATCACTTAAAAGCTTCCGTTTGCTGCAACGGCTTTAAGACATTATGAACTGCTTTTTATGATGTTCTCAAACCGAGTAATCGCTTCTTGAAATATTACCGGTGCTTCGTTATGAAACTGAGCGCAGTTATTTTGATAGATAGGTACCTAAAGGTATTGTGAATACAAGGTGTAGGTATTTTAGAAATACATATAATTCTGTTGCTAAAAAAATATTAGTTATATGTAACACAAGTCTAACAAACGATTAACATAGTAGCCATAGGAGGCGTCATTCAACAGTACAGTACATGGTAGGCGCTCTGCGCTGATAACGATAACGTATCGCGAGACAAAGAACTCATTAAGTTAACTCGCTCGGTGACGTGACATTTCCTTCGATATCCACCAATGCGTCCTCACCTCTCGGGTCACTAAATTATTATCGCTTCCGGTCGTTAATAAACAAGTCTAATAGATATAAAACATGTAGGTAGGTACTGACAATATTGAAATTCACATTACTTCTAGACTAGCAATGGTAACACTGTATTAAATTATAATTTCTGTATCTTCCCTTTTATCAATTTTGGAGAGAATTAGTAATCACAGAACACAGGAAGACCTCGATCTGTGTTGTGCTAATCTACTGTCACGAGGAAATATGTTCCCACAGTAATTTAATTACGATCACGGGGTAACAATTAATTCAGTTTAATATTGGGTTAGTCATTCATTCTTAAAATTGACTGTGAGGGGTGTAGCGGAAGGGACGTTCCGCGCGGGCGCACGCACGGCGGAAATGCATCCGGGACGCACCGCGCGGCCGCAATGCCGCCCTGTGCCAGTTGGGAACTTAAGCACTCCCCCGTTATTCAAATTTCGAGCAATAAACATATCACCATTCCTCAAATCTGACGAACACAAGTAGAAAAGTTTCTAAGAACCTATTGCTTGTCTTGGTACCAAACAAATATAGTCATTTTTCATAGTGTGTGCGCACGGTAATATATAATTTGTCGGTCGTAGCAAAGTCGCGTATAATGAATAATTTAAGTAAAACAGAAAAAATGGTGAAAGTGTAGGTACGTTCTTGTGTCGGGCAGGAAACTCTAGCTCGGAAGTTAACCAGTGAATATTTTAAAAAGACTGTTATGAAAAAGTGTTACATTATTGGAAGAACGTTTTAGAAATTATTATGGTAATGTAATGATATCGATTTATTATAGCTATACCCATATGAGTCATTATCATGAATGAATAAAAGTAAAGTTGATAACGTTGAGTAACGATTACTTATGAGTTGTCTAATACACAGTAGTAGTAGGTGTTAGTGAACTTCCAATTGACTAAAGTAAAGGTCGTTGAACTTAAACTTTTTCTTTTTAATAATCTCTGTTGTAGTAATAGTAAACCCGAGCCCAGTTGAGAGGATACGAAAACATTTTATAAATACTTAACTTAAATATAATTGTATGGATTCAAGTCGCAGTAGATGATTTTTTTTCTGTTAGAATCATGACAGATCTCACCAATTACAATACAGCAATTGGTGGACTGCGTATACCAGTAGCATTCGAATTCTCTAATTATTCCTAATTCAACGTAACAAGTATGGGCGGGCAGCCATTCATAAAGTGAGCAAACCTTGACCTAATAAATTTGTTTGCCCTCCCGTATGTGGCCGCAAACGGTTCCCAACCGATAACGCCGGAAACCGGACGGACACCGGACAATGGATCCGTTATAACAATACTACACGAAATAAATAAAAAGTAATATTAACTTTACATAGGGGTGGCAACAGGAAATTTGAAAATAGTTATAGCGATTAATAATTCAAGGACAGTGACGGCGCCGGCGGGCACTTGTTAAGATTGACAGCCACCACTTAGTTTAGCAATACCAAGTCAGTATACTAAGTGGGGATGTGAAAAATCTGTGACTTAGTTCATAAAATTCGTTCTGTAATTTCCAATATCCGTTTCATTAAAATTGTAATGCTTTAAAGTTTTTTTTATGTTATAAGGGTGGCAAATAAGCATAATGTATGAACCAAACTTATAATTTTGACTAACCGATTCATATTTCATTCATAGCTAAGCCATTTTTAGTTTGGTTTGGTACTATCTTCAAGTAGACTTCACGTTAGATTTTTTGTTTGTTGTTCAATCACGCAAAAGCTACTGAACGGATTTGAATGAAATTTCGTATGCACATAGTTTATGACCTGGACATAGGATACTTTTCATCCCGGAAAAGTGTTAGGTTCCTTTGGAAGTCTCTAAAAACCAAAGTTAACGTGGACGAAGTCTCGGGCGGTCGCTAGAAAAATAATGTTTTAACTGGACCAAGCTTTTCCTTTATTAAAGATTGTTGGTGACCTGAATGACAAGTGCTCCTTTATATACTACTAACAAGCGAATTATAATAAAAAAAAACTAACTTGAGAGTCCGTTCCATAGTGGAAGTGCGGAATATTTCCTCCTGGTCAAGGGACAGCACGCAGTAAATGTCCCGGTCGCAAGTTCCGCCATGGCTGCGTCTTGGTAAATTTTTGGCTTCACCTGAAAAGAAAACAATCATTGATATATTGTTTTGCCAAAAAAGCAGTGTATTCTCATAAGAGAATAATGGTAATGATTGGTCAGATAAAACATTTGCAGATCAAGGTATCTGGAACAACAATAGAATAGAAACGTGGTATTCTGCAAAGTGGAGGTTTTTAATAGTTTGTCAACAACTACTTTATACAAGGTCATTGCTTAATACGGATATAAATCGCGATTTATATGCGTTTATATTTAAAGTCATTCGTTACGTTTCCGATCTTTTTAGGTTCATTCAGACAGCGGGCAGGGCGGGACGACAACGCGACGCTGGCACTATATAAACAGTTGTAATGTAGCAGTAATTATTAAATACGTCACACAGCTAAACCTTTACTCTTTACAGTACAAGACTCCGTGATATCAAAATTGGGTTAGATGAGAGTGCGTGAAAACAACAGATATATTAAATAAATATGTAACAATTTGCTTCAAATTATATAAATAAATCACCCTCTTGTTGGGCTTAATTAGTGATAATAAACTTTCCAAGGAAAAAATAATTCCCATAAAACGGTTGTTAATGTATTTGAAATTAACGATTTTAGGCAGACTAGATATTAATTTATTATAATATCTTTAATAAAAAAGCGAATTTTTGATCATAATCAAATTAATATCTACATGGGATTTCAATCATTATGACAAAATAATATTGGAAACAAACCAAATCATTATATTTTTGGCAAATTAAAAAAAAACAAATACGTATTACCAAAAATCCACTCTGCTATCGGTCAAGTAAAATTTTGTATAGATTTATAAATCAAAAATTATTTAAACGCTCATAATAATAATATTAACACAGTTATGGATGATATATTAACGTTAATTATTAAAGGAGATTGCTCAGCTTCCATACATGTTTGGCCTAAAGACCAATAATCATGAAAAATTGTTTCCTAGATTCGAAATTATATACAAATTACTGTAGAAACGAATATTATTGACGGACACCCCTGAGAACTTCTATAAACCATATACACTGAACATATTAAAATAATAAAAAACAAATAAGTTATATAGTAAACTAGGGAAATCAAGCCAAGTACCGAAATTATGGATTAGATTCAGGTATATAGATTAACATTTATAGTTGCTGTGACATTATTGAATATAATCTGTGTCATTATTGTTTCTATATTATAGTTATATAATCTATGGGAGTTAATCTATGGTTATAAGTGTGAAATAAAAGACGGGATGCTCAAAAAATAAATTGTTTAATTTACAAAGTTTAACATAATATGATATGGCGCAGTCGAATAATAATCAGAACCAGGGACTCGCTCCAACAACAAACAGGTCAGTCAGTATAAGGGCAGACACAACACCTAGTCTTGCCTTAACGCAACCTCGGCCATCATCATTTGAAAGGGACCTAGCAAAAAATTTTAAAACATGGTTACGACAATTAGAATTATACATGTGTGCAAATGAATGTCACAAAAACCCTCAGACACAAAAGCGGCAATACTATTGCACCTACTAGGTGAAGAGGGTTTGGATAAAGAAACGTTTAACCTAACAGAACCAGAAAAAAGTGATTATGAGAAAGTTCTCACAGCCCTGAAAGAATATTGTCTTCCTAAAACTAATGAAACTATTAATTGTCACATATTCTTCGCTCGTAATCAAAAACAGGGAGAAAATTTCATTTATTACCTGTCAGAAATTAAAAAACTGACTTTAACCTGTAACTTTAGCGATCTACGGGACGGCCTAATAAGGGATAAGTTAATAAATGGTATAAAAGACCCCAAACTGAGAGAAAGACTGCTGCGGGAACCAGACCTCACATTGGAGAGATGCATAGAAATGTGCAAAACAACAGAAATTGCTACAGGTTATTTGCATCAATTACAAGAGAAAGATACACAAAAAATAGATAAAATAAACAAAAAGCAATTTAATACCAACCAACAACCAAAAATGTTTAAGTGTAGAAGCTGTGGATCCCAACACTCTCATCGTCAATGTCCAGCATATGGAAAAATGTGTAGCTTTTGTAAGAAATCAAACCATTTTGCAAGTGTTTGCAGAAGTAAACAATGGAATGCTGATAAAATTAAAGAAAACCAACAAGATGAAGAGAAACATGAAATCTTACTGGGTAGCATCAATACTCAGGACTGGACGGTACAGGTAACTTTTATTGAATTAGGTAAAAAACTGTTGTTCAAACTTGACACTGGTGCAGGATGCAATGTGATAAGTAAGAAACTTTTGAATCAGTTAAATATTAAAGAACAATTAAATTATTCAAATGCTATATTGAGAAACTATAACAACTCTGTAATTAATTTACTGGGAACAATAAATTTATTGTGTTCGATAAAAGGTAAAAAACAATTATTAAAATTCCATGTAGTTGATTGTGACTCTGACCTTTACTAGGCTTACCTACAATTAAAAAACTTAGTTTAATTATTACCATGTGTCAAGTTCAAAAAGAAGATATTATAAATCAATATCCAACATTATTTTCAGGAACAGGTCAAATAAATGACTATGTATATAATTTTAAATTGATACCAAATTACATGGGTAAAGTTATTCCCTGTCGACCTGTGCCCATGAAACTATTAAATGATTACAAAAAGGAATTGAAAGAAATGGAGTCCAATAAAATCATAAGGAAAATAGAAGAACAACAGATTTTGTGAATGCTGTAGTAATTGTAAGAAAACCAAATAATTCTCTACGTATATGTCTAGATCCTCAATACCTAAATTCTTGCCTGTTAAGAGAACATTTTAAGCTTCCCACATTTGAAGAGATATCTGCAAAAATGGCTAATGCAAAAGTGTTTAGTAAATTAGACTGTAGCAAAGCGTTTTACCAGATAAAATTAAGTGATACCAGCTCATAGCTTACAACATTTCAAACTCCGTTTGGCAAATATTGTTTTTTAAGAATGCCTTATGGTGTTAAGGTAGCATCAGAAGTATACCATAAACAGTTTTCTCGCTTATTTGAAGACATACCTAACGTAGAAATCTTTGTAGACGATTTGATCTTGTGGGGGGAAAATCAAACCATTTACGATGAAATATTGCAAAAGGTATTAAAAAAGGCATCTGAACATAATATAACTTTTAATTCTGAAAAGTGTATAATAGGCACAAATAAATTAAAATTCCTAGGGCACATTTTCACTGACAAAGGTATTTCAATAGATAATGATAAAATTGAAAGCATAATTAAAATGGAAAAACCAAAAGATATCACTGGGATACAAAAGTTATTGGGTATCATTACATATGTTTCTAAATTTATTTCTAATATCTCTGATTTAACAGCACCATTAAGAACATTGTTAAAAAAAGAAAATAAGTGGGAATGGGGTCAAGATCAAGAAAATAGTTTTTCACAAATCAAAAAATATTTGACTTCATCTCCTATATTAAAATATTATAATCCTAACTCACGTTGTCTTTTAAGTGTGGATGCGAGTAGTAATAGAGTAGGTGCAGTTCTCCTACAAAATGGATACCCAATAGCTTATGCATCTAAAGCATTCACTGATACTCAAAAATGGGCACAGATCGAAAAGGAAATGTATGCCATAGCTTATGCTTGTGAAAAATTTATATAATGGGTAAAAATTTCGATGTAGAATCTGATCACAAACCTCTTATACCAATAATGAAAAAAACATTAGCAGAGATACCAATTAGACTTCAGAAAATGAGATTAAGACTACAACATTATGACATTACATTCAAGAAATTATTTGAAGACAGATGTTAGTGATGATTACGATGTAGATTGCAGTATACTTTTATATTAATAGACCTAAAAGAAAAAATGAGCTTAAAAAGATATGAAGAGTTTAAAAAAGAAACCCACAATGATGAAGAAAAAAAAACTTATTAAAATTGAGAAACAACCCAATATCACAGTATATAAAATCTCCAAATGAAATGCTAATGGGTCACAAAGTTAGGGGCATATTAATTAATCTTACAAACAATAATAACCAAAACAATAAACAAATACGGTCTCAATTAATAAAAAGACAAGATAAACAGAAACTTTATTACATTAAACATGTTAAACCTTTAAAAGAATTTAAATTAGGAGATAAAGTTTTATTAAAAAACCATAAAACAGGAACTTTTGACAGACAAGCAGAAATAATAGAACATGCAAATAAACCAAGGTCATATAATTTACTAACAAACTCAGGTAACATAATCGATAGAAATAGAATTCATTTAAAAACTAGCCCAAAAAATTATATATCTAATGAAAGTAACAATTTCGATTTAGAATTTTCCAGATGAAAATACCAATAATATTACAGATAAGAAGGAGCAAATAAATAACAAAATATACAATCCTGTCAACGAAAATAATGATTACAATTTAAATAACAATAATCATGAGGATACTATTCATCCTAAAATGTCCAGCAGAGGCAGAGTCATAAAACTTCCTGCTTATTTAGCTGATTATAGTCATACATACGAACATTGTTAATAAAAAATAGTTTACTTTAGAATTTAATTTTTATTAAGTCCTAAAGACTTGGGTGTTAATTTTTATTTAATCTTAAATAATTATTCTTTACAATTCATGTAAAGGAGACCTAGTACATAATATAAGTGCATCAAATTAATATGTAAGTTATGATTATGATTCATATTACAGTGTTATTTGTAAACTTGTTTTATTATAAAAAAGGAAGATGTGACATTATTGAATATAATCTGTGTCATTATTGTTTCTATATTATAGTTATATAATCTATGGGAGTTAATCTATGGTTATAAGTGTGAAATAAAAGACGGGATGCTCTAAAAATAAATTGTTTAAATTACAAAGTTTAACATAATATGATAGTTGCCTGTTTTTAAAGTTAATGCATAAGAGTAACTTTTAAAATCAGGTGTCATTTCCGGTTATAATAAGGTACTCTGTGACAGAAACTGTGTGATGATTGTGAATGAGCC